AGGAGGAGGAGGAAGAGACGCACCTTCCCGCTGCGTCGGAGGCAGAGACTGTCGCCGGACTAACCTATAGAAGGAACACAGGGACAGAAGGAGGAGGAGGAGGAGGAGGAGGAGGAGGAGGAGGAGGAGGAGGGGGAGGAGAAAGAGCGCGGCGGCTATGGCGGCAGCAGGGAGTCGCTCAAGGGGGGCAGACTACGACTATCTCATCAAGCTTTTACTTATTGGTGACAGCGGAGTGGGGAAGAGTTGTATTCTCCTTCGGTTTTCCGATAACTCTTTCCGTACGAGTTTTATGTCTACCATCGGTATCGACTTCAAGATCCGTACAATCGAGCTGGACGGCAAACGAATTAAGCTACAGATTTGGGACACGGCTGGCCAAGAACGGTTCCGTACGATTACCACCGCTTATTATCGGGGAGCCATGGGAATCTTGCTCGTGTACGACGTTTCAGATGAGTCTTCTTTCGACAATATCCGGAACTGGATGAGGAATATCGAGCAACACGCGGCGGAAACGGTTAACACGATCCTAGTGGGGAACAAGGCGGACATTGATGACAGCAAGCGGAGGGTATCGACAGCGAGAGGGCAAGCTCTGGCTGACGAGTTTGGAATAAAGTTCTATGAAACTTCGGCGAAGACTAGCATGAACGTGGAGAACGTGTTTTTCGCGCTAGCGAAGGACATCAAAGATAGATTAGCGGAGTCGGTGGAGGCGGCGAGGCAGAGCGGGGAGCAAAGCGCGGCGGTGGGGGGGGGAGGCGCGGGGGGCGGAATCAGGATCAACCCCCAGGGGTCCGGAGAGGGGGGCAGTAGCCTGGGGGGAGGGCTCGGAAAATCGAATTGTTGTTCTTGATTAGCAAAACCACAATCAGGCATTCGATCAAACCAATCAATCCAATCAATCCAATCAATCAATCCAATCAATCCAATCAATCCAATCAAACCAACCACTCAGTCAGTCAGTCAGTCAGTCAATCAATTAATCATTCAATTAGATGGGGGAAATGGATCGGGTGAAGGAGGGAGGTAGGGGGAGTGATATCTTAGAGACGTCATCGTATATACCAGCAGTTCAGGAGGGAGAGAGAGGGCAGGGATGCGTGGGTGATGGTGGTGGTCGATTGTCGGGACAAGTCTGAGGGAATTATTTGGGAGGTGAGAGATAAACAGGAGAAGGGTGGTTGACAGGACGGCATGTGTGTGTGTTTGTGTGTGTGTGTGTGTGTGTGTGTGTGTGTGAGAGAGAGAGAGAGAGAGAGAGAGAGAGAGAGAGAGAGAGAGAGAGAGAGA